GATGAAGACGGTGTATGATTGGAAAACATTTTATTATGTTACATATTAGGTAGGTGAGTTGCAGCCAACTTGATGGTAACTAACAACATGGCGGCCAACTGACTCAACTGTTGGTGTATGGTTGACAATGAAGGAGAGACGCTTTGCTTCATCCATCCTCAGTGTTACTGATCTTTTTTTTTTTTCAACTCTCCACTCTAAACCTCATAAGTATGATTCGTGTGACTTCCTGCTCAAGAAGGTGAGAGGGAACTGAGATGAAAACTTTGTTCTGTGTCCTACCTGTTACTCTCCTATCTCTCTCGTCAGGTTTCCTCCAAATAGCCTACTACAGGAATCTCCCTCTACAACCTCACCTACCATTTACTCTCTACTACTGTGCAGTCTAGTTCTACCCTTCAGTTGGTGATGGTCTCATCACCTTTAGGAACCACTAGAATGACTAATCATGGTTGCATTTGCCTGCCAATTCTTAAGTAAGCAGTGTTACTTACATTGCTTCTTGCCTTTGAACTCTACCCCCAGAGAAGCTGAGAATTCATTTTTTACATTCGAGGTTGCTTCTTGAAGGAAACTTCAGAGTTGGAAAGTTTGTCAAATTGTTAGAATTGTTGGCAATTATGCAATCAAATAGTACATTATTTTCATTAGGGCTGGGAAATATTTCTACTCATATTCTTTCCTCTTTTTATTGATTTATTTTTCTTTTTATAATTGTGTTTCTATTTGATGTTACCAATGAACATTTTCTTGGACTTCGATGTGTGAATTCCAGAAATTCATATGCAGTGAATAAAAGTACATTCTCCTACTTATTAATGCTGTCAACTCAAAGGAAACTTATTGTTTGTTGAGAGATGGGTAGATATCCACCCAGTCAAAAAGATAATAGATGTGTTTTCGCTCCAAAAAAGCAATTGTATTATTTTTATGTATTAAGTCTTATGGTAGGCTGAATGAATGTCCACCTCCCCCACCCCCAAAGATAAGTCACTCCTAATCTGCTAACCTCAAGGTTGGCAGTTCAAAACTACTAGCTGTTTCATGGAAGAAAGATCAAGCTTTCTGCTCCTGTAAAGATTTGTAGCCCCGGAAACCCTGTGCAGGGTCACTATGAGTCGGAACCTGCTCCATGGTACTTAATAACAATCCCTACGAAGTGTATGAACCTATGAAAAGTACCTTACTTGGAAAGAGACTGGATAGTACCTTATAGGGTAAAAGATATGACTAAGGGTCTTGAAAATAGTTTATCCTGAATTATCCATGCAGGCTCTGTATACATTACATTAAGAGAGACAGACATATGGAAAAGAGAAGATGATGTGAAGATGGATGCAGAGATTTGAGTGATAGTCACAAGTCAAGGAATGCTAGAAAAAACTCAAAAAGCCAAGGAACAGATTATTCCTAGAGCCTCTAGAGAGGGTGCAGCCCCATCCACACATGATTTTGGGCTTCTGTCTCCAGAACTGTGAGAGAGTCCGTTTTTGTTGTTTTAAGCCGTGAAGTTTGTGGTATTTTCTTGTGGCGTCTATAGTAAATGAATACAGCCCTTAAATGAAGTAAAGATTATTGCATAGTATTCATAAACGCTCACTCTAGTTCTACTCTTCTATCATTGGGAAGTGTTAGTCTTGTCACTTCTTGAAACCACTGAAATGACAAATATTAATTGCATTTGCCTACCAAGTCTTAAGTACGAAGTGTCGTCTCAGCACTTCTCATCTTTGAAATCTACCACCAGAGATGCTGAATTCTTGGATCCTATGTGTAGAATCAAATTCGTTTAGGCAGCCTGCTATTTTCTGCTGGCGTAATATAACTGGATCACTAGCTCTGTAACTGTGTTACATTGATTTATGTCAATTCAAGATCCAGGTCACCTTCCTGTCAGCCCTTAATTCATTTTTTGCTTTTGTTTTTTAAGATTATATTTTGAATCAATTTTCTGGTACTAGGGATTTGGTATATATGTCTTTCCAAGGTTTCATGGGTTATTCGGATGACTGTCGGGGTCTGACCTCGACATAGTTGTCACGCGTGTTTGGTTCACGAGGAGGGGAGATCCAGCGCCGATAGGGATAGCGAAAGAATACACAGACAAACAGAAGAAGGGAGACAATGAGGCACCCCAAAGCCAGGGTGGATACATCACTGGTGGGCAGGCTTGGGACTACAGGCATCATGGCCTCTGCAGGCAGCGACTCACTGCCCTGCAATCTTTAATGCATGCCTTCCAACCCGTAATGCACCGCAATCTTTACTCCATGCCTTCCAACCAGTAATGCACACCTGGGGAGGCCCGGGCCTCTGTTTTATTTAGGGGAGGAGTTTCACACCAAGCTGGGAGGGACTAAAACAGGATACAGCTAACATCAGTAATTTTCCAGACATTCAGGTAACTTTACATTGTACTTCACTGGTTCAAATCCCAGGCCAGCAACTTGGATTCTCAGGCCCAATTAACATATCTATAGCCCCTGAGGTCAGTTGGGGGAAGGTGAGAGTTCTGCAGGAGACGCCCAGGTGAATGGGCTGCACCTGGAAAAGGGATTAGGGAGGATGGGTTCTTTGTCTATAGAACAAAGAACCGAGAAGTAGCTAAGATATTTTTAGTTAATCCTTTGGAGAAAGGTTTAACCTTGCAACCTTTAGTCTCGGCTTTAGGAAAATATCACATTTATCTGTGGATTTTCAAAGGCTCCAGTGTATTAATTTAATATATATACCTGAATATTAAGATGAAAGCAATTTTCCATTAACTGCCAGTGGCCTCATTTGTTACACTCAGCCCTAGAGGGCCTCGAACCTCTGACTAGTCTTACACGGTCTGCAACAGATGACCAGTCATTTTAGGGAACCACTGAAATGACAAATCATAGTTGCATTTGCCTGCCAATGTAATCCCTGATGTCACAATGGTTAAGCACTTGGATACTATCTGAAAGGTCTGTTCAAACCCACCCAGGGGTTTGAACAAGCCCAGGGGTTTGAAAAGATGTGTGATCTGCTTCTGTAAATAGTACAGCCTGGAAACTCTAGGGGCGGTTCTACTCTCTCACATGTGATCCCTATGAGTTGAAATCTACTTGATAGCACCTAATAAAAAAATTTGTCAGCTATATACTGAGTAAATTTTTACATGAATTATTATGTTTAATCTTACAAGTTTTTTAACCTGCTTTGTAGTTGGTAAATTGAGGTTCAAAAAAGCTATATAAGTTCTTCAACCCAGTGATTAAGGAAACTAAGATTTAACTACATATCTATCTGATTCCAAAACCAATGCTCTTAATGCAGAAAAGCCAGCATAGTACAGTTGAATGGAAACTGTTCTTGTTCACATTCTTTGCACATCCTTTCTAGATGAATGGTGCTGGGTAAGTCATTCATCTCATTTAACTGATACAATGGTTACATTTTTGACTGCAAGCCCAAAGGTCAGTGGTTCAAACCCACCAGCTGCTCCAGAGGAGAAAGATGTGGCAGTCTGCTTCCATAAAGCTTTCTAATTTTGGAACTTCTATGAGGTAGTTCTATTCCATCCTATAGGGTCACTGTGTGTTGGACTCAACTTGATGGCAGTGGGATTTGGTGTTTGTTGTCCCCCACCCTTTGGTTAGCTGCAGTTTGTTCCTTTTGAAGAGAATGATATCTACCCCAAACAGATATTATGAAAAGGAAATTAAATTATGTATATCATAGTACTTTGCCAGTTGTAAAATGTCACATCAATGTGGTTTTACTGTGGTTTTTGCTCATCTAGTTCTCATTTGTAGACTAAGCAAAGTGTAGTTATGTTACTTGACAGAAGCACCGGTTTCACAAAATGCTACATCTACTATCACCACCATAATTATTGTGGAATTAAGACTTCCTGAATGGTTAACTCTGGAATCTCCCTGAATCCGGGTTCAAGTCCCACCTCTTCCATTAATTAATAATATAATCATGAACTAGTTCCTCTGTGATTTGGATTATCCATCTACTCAAAGGACAAAATTATGCTATTTGTTGAGGATTAAATTGAACTAGAGCACAGTGCCTATAATGTTTATTTATGATCATTATGACCATCGTTAATTGTTGCATTTCTAACAGTAGCTGTGCCACAATGAAGGAAAATCCTCTTTGTGAGATTCTACTGCTCATTGCCCTGAGAAGAATTAACACAGGGGGGAGATGGGGGAAGATGTACCAGCAGTGAGGCAGTATAAACTGCAGGGCATGGAGTAAACCCAAGACCAAAGGCAACCCATCTGAATATCAATTCCTTTCTATGCCAACAAAATGTTTTCAACTATGGCTTCTCTGTAGCAGAGGCATCTCAGCAAGGAACCTCCAAATAGATAGGGAAGCTGAAGTGTGTCATAAATACATTCACATGCAATGAGGGAAAAAGAATACTGGTATATCCTTTTGCAGTTGGAAGATGATCATTTGGGAGGGCAACTATGAACTATTTGTAAGTAAACCAGAATAATGTCTTGTATTATTATATAATTTAATAAGAAAAATAGTGGCTACCATTTAGTGGGTCACTGTACTAAGCTAAATATTTTGCATGCATTATCTTTAAGCTTCACCAAATTTTATAAAACAGAAATCATTACCTCATTTTACAAGTGAGAACACTTAGGTATTAAAAGGTTACTTAGGTTTCAATGGATAAAGATTAGTGGAATATTGGAGACGGCATGGACAATGAAGTCTAACCACCCCAGAAGTCCATATTCTTTCCTCTACAGCATAACAGCTCCATAGGAGGTTTTCATGCCTAGAATTGATAATTCTGTTGTAGCAACTGCGGTTACTCCTTTTCTAGTCTTTTATTTTCCTTTTATCATACCCCCTACTCCCAATTAAAAAAAAAAAAAAAAAAGATGATAAAAACATCACTGAGAGATCTATATATAAAATTCCACTCTGTGATTTTCAAAAACATCTTGTGGCTCCTGTTAGCATACCTCTTGCACTTTGCTTGTGTCCTGTTTCAGGTGTGCAGAACAACTAGTTCACAATAACCTCCCAACCACCAGTGTTATCATGTGCTTTGTGGATGAAGTGTGGTCCACTCTCCTGAGATCTGTTCATAGTGTCCTCAACCGCTCTCCTCCACACCTCATCAAAGAGATTTTGCTGGTGGATGACTTCAGTACCAAAGGTAAAAAAACTACTCAAGCTTTCTTCTGGAAAAAAAAAAAATTGATATGCAGCAATCACTGTTTAGATGATAAAATTACAGGACTACTTGATGAAGCATAAGGAACCATGTTGGAGTCCTGGTGTGGCACTGTATGATAGGCACTGGATTGCTAACCACACAGGTCAGCAGTTTAAACCCACCAGGCAGTCATTCCTTGGAAACACTATACAGGATCATTATGAGTCTGAACCTACTAGACAGCACTTAACAGCAACAAGGAACCCTATTTGTGTAATGCTCAAAACACTGAGCTGCTAACCCAGAGTTCCAAACCGTCTAACTGCTTTGTGGGAGCAAGATATGGCAATCTGGTTTTGTAACCTTATAAGAAAGTTCTACTCTGTCCTCTAGAGTCCCTATGAGTCAGAATTGACTTGATGACAATGGATTTGAGTTTTAATTTAAGGAATCATAACAATTTTGCAGATGATAAATATTGTGGTGTCTTGGAGGAATAAGTCTAGCAGTGGACATAAAAGTTAGCTGTAACTATGGTCAGGTCCTTGTTCAGTTGGCTGACTCAGGTTTCTCCTCAGCTATGACTCTCTTTCCATGTCAGAGTGATAATCTAACCACATTCCTTGACATGGGCATTTTGGAGTGCCAGAGACCCAGTGATTATACAAATACCTTTAAAACATACAATAGGCAAATATCTTTCAATTAATGGAATGCCTTTCCTAGTGGTAATGACTAAATTAGAATTGCACTCTGGGGACTGAAAACACATGGAAGGTGTGTGATGTCTCCCTCAAGAATAATATATACCATATGTTCAATCAAGTGCTAAGAGGACATGGGACCAGAGAGATGAATCCACCAAGGCCATTCCATCTTTTTTGTTTATTGCAATGAGGAATTTTACTCTTTGGACTGTCAAATAATTGTCCATGTATGTGATCTCAGAGGCACCAAGACCACACATATTACAAATGTTCAAAATGCAACCCACCTCAGAATTTTTTAGAAAGTTGCAAAGATGGCAACCTTACAGAAAAGCTTAGCCTTGATCTGTGACCACAGTGCTATGTACCAGTTTTCTAAGCCCCAGAATTCCTTCCAAAATCACACAAGGCTCAAGAAACAGTCAGATACATGCCAAAGGAAATCCCATTAAAATTTTAATTGATTTTGAAAGTTTAAACAGAGATAGTTTTTACTTACCAAGTTACTTTATGAGAACCAGACCCAGATTTTGTGGGACCTGAAACTGATACAAGGTTTAGGGCCCTCTTTTTAGAAAAATAATACAATATTTCCAGGAGAATGAGCAGTAGTCCTCCTGGAAACCATTTTTTACCTGGGACAGCTGTCAATAGCTTAATTACACACAGAAGTGACTACATGCAACAGAAATATATACATAAAGCCTCCAAGAAAAGTTATTTTAGCTGGATTCTTCAATAGTTACCAGCAAAAAGAAAGGAAATGTGTTGAAGGGGGAAGTCAGAGTGGAAAATGGCAGTGGTTAGAACCAATTGCTACTACAATATCTATTTTTTGGTTTTTTTGTTTTGTTTTGTTTTGTTTTGTTTATTTTACAATGTGTGTGCATTGCTAAATCTCCTGGAGAAGCCTTTCCAAATTAAGGGGCTTGAATCCTGAGCATTTGCTTCAAAGTGTATCTGTCCTTACTTCAATAAATGCTCAGAAAGTGGGAGCTCGCCTTGGTGTAACTTGGCAACACTAAACAGAGGGATTTGGGATTTAAGAATGCAGAAAAATCTAGTCCCGAAAAATGGCATTAGAAAATAAAATCATGGCTCTAAGAAATCAAATTCAGTGACTATCTTAATTGTTTTTAGAATCTGACACTGGAGAGGCACTTCTGGAACTACCCAGACTACTGCTGTGGTGCTGTAGGATGAGCACTGGACTGCAGTTCAAACCCACCAGCTACCCCTCAGAAACCCTATACAGGGTCACTAGGCATCAGAACAGACTCAAGGGCACTTAACAAGAGTCAATCTAAATGCTTTCTTTTTTCTCCCTATTATTATATAGACTACCTAAAAGATAATTTAGATAAATATATGTCTCAATTTCCAAAAGTTCGGATAATTCGCCTCAAAGAGAGACATGGGTTGATAAGAGCCCGACTGGCAGGAGCACAGATTGCAACAGGTAAGAAGCTACTGATCCTTTATTGTTTACATTTTTATTTTAATGTTTGTTCGAGTTCGTAGCAGATTTCAAAGCATAGCACAACGAACAGTCATATTTCCATCATTTTATTTAATCTTTTTTTTTTTTTAACATTTTGTAATATGAGAGGGTCTCAGAAAAAGACAATAGAGTTTTTCCAGGAAGTTTTTGAAGTTCTCTTATATGTGCTTTATAATATACATATACACAAAGACAGTGAAATAAATAAACTGACTTTTGTTCCCCTGAACCTTTGAAAAGGAGTTTATAGGTATCACATGACACTACATGCCTAAGTTTTTCAGCAGCTATCTTGGAAAAATACAGACATTCTTTTGCATAAGCACAACTTTCATACCGAAACATTACCTTATATATATGCTTCTGCTCAAATCTCAATTGCTCACAAAATGTTTTAAATATATTTCTTTCATTCCTTCTTTCTCACTTTTTTCTTCTTTCTTCCTCTTGTCTTAAAATTTAGGATATGATTAAGGTTCATTTTGTTATCTAGTCACATTATTCTCTTTGAATCCAAAATAATCACCCTGCACAACTTTCTTATCATACCACTGATTTTTTTTTAAGAGTCCAGGCCTTTTTCTTTTTTTTTTGATAGAACTAACCACATTTGGAAATTTTCTGATTGCTTCCTCATATTAGCTGCATGAGTACAACAAAGATGATAGAAATTGTGGACTTCTTGTTGCCTCTAAACAAGAGATACAGATGTCAGGCTTGTTCACTGTTGGTGATACTAATTCATGTGCTTGATTAAAATATTGATAACCAGATAGGTTCCTTGGGTGATGTGGTAGTTGTTAAGTTCCATCAAGTCAGTTCTGACTCATAGCGACCCTGTATAAAGTGAGAAGTAATTTGTAGCATGATACCTTGATGAATGTGACTCTCCTATTTCACGAATAACACGTTACTCAATGGTTTTGCATCATTGATGATCTTTATGTAAAGCAATTATTATACTAGGTCTTCAAAATTGTGTTTTTAATTCTATCTTTCTTTCTTATATCAGTTATAAAAAAGAGCTCCCTGCAGTTGTCCTCATTCTTTCTCTCTCTCTCCCTTTCTCCTCCTACCTCTCTCTCTCTCTCTCTCTTCTTTCCTCCCACCTTCCATTACTATGGATTTATCATTAAAATAATTCAACGTATATTTTGCTAACAATATTCTTTTAGGTGTTCAAATTGCCTCAAACTTGTTCACTGGGAGCGCTGTCAAGCCTGGGCCTTTGTGACCTGACCCAATTGGTATTTGAGGTGCTGGGAATCCATTAGTTCTTGAATCCCTAACCTGCACTGCTGCTTCTTATCTAACCTATATCTGCTCTTTCTGCTTTCCCAAAGGGAAATATGCCTCCTTTTCCTCTCTGCTCTTTAATGTGTGGATGTTCGTTATGTGAGTGGAAGGAGGTGAATTTTCTCTGATCATAAGTATTCTAAAAATAATATCAAACATTTTGGTTCACTTTTAACCTTCTTCTGTGGAAACAGTTGGGTCCCTGTAATAAAATCTAATCTTATACCAGGTATTGGCATAGATGAGTGAGTGCCTCCTGTGTCACCTTACTTTCTTGAAAGATTTCCATTTTTTATTCCATCAATTCCTGGTGCCTTGTTCTTTGCCAATTCCTTCAATGCACCTTGGACCTCCTCCTTCAGTATCATTGGCTCTTTATCATATGCTACCTCTTGAAATGGTTGAACAGTAACCATTTCCTTTTGGTACAGTGTCTCTGTGTGTTCCTTCCATCTTCTTTTAATGCTTTCTGCATCATTCAATAATTTGCCCAGAGAATCTTTCAGTAATGAAAGTTGAGGCTTTATTTTTTTCTTCAGTTCCCTCAGCTTGAGAAATGCTGAGCGTGTTCTTCCTTTTGGTTTTCTGATTCCAGATCTTTGTACATTTTGTCATAACATTTGTCTTTATCTTCGTGAACTGATCTTCGAAATTTTCTGTTCAGCTCTTGGACCTCCTCATTTCTTCCATTTGCTTTAGCATCTCTACTCTGGAGAGCAACTTTCAGTGTCTCTTCTGACATCCATTTTG